TCCAGGAAGCCTCCCCGCCCCCCAACCCGGTCCCCCGTAGTCGGAGAGGAGGGTGCAGCCCCGCGAATGCGAGCTGGGGCCACCCTGGGGTGTGTTTGGGACAACACGTTTGGGTGGGCGCTTCTGGGACCCAGTTTCCTGGGACGGGGAGCCCGTGAGAGGCACTGGGATCAGGTGGGGACACCCCAACCACACCTGGACTCCTTCCCCCGCTGTTCCTTGTTGCAAAAGTACAGGTGACCTGGACTTCTCCCTGCCAACCCCCATCACCACCACCACCACCACCACCACCACCACCACACACACATTAATTAATGTAAGCCCCAGCCTGGACTCCGGCTCACTGATGCCTGGTACATCGTAGGTGCTCAATAAATATGAATGAATGAACAAATGACTGAATGACACAGGGAAATTCTCCCGGGTGGATTGCAGTCAGCTTGCCTGTGTGAGACCTGTGGTCAGTTCAGGGTGGCAGGCAGAAAACCCAGGCCACAAGTGCCCAAATGAGACAGGTGCACCCTTACTCCAGGACCCTAAGGTGTTAGGGTGAGGGGTTTGGCCTTTTGGGATTCAGGGGGTTCAGGGCCAGGTCATGGAGGAGTTGGGGTTCTGGAGTGCCTCCTTCCCTCCAATAGGAGCTGGGCAGGCTGGGCCAACAGGTTGGGTGGCATAGCCAAGCTGACACTCACCTCCAGCATAAAACCCCACTTCATGGAGGCCAGTTCCTCACACTAGTGCTCTCGGAGATCCCGCCACTGCTGTCCCCCACCGGCGCCCCAGCCAGGCCTGAGATCATGAGGCAGCCGCCAGCTGTGGCCCTGCTCCTGCTGCTGCTGCTTCGGTTTGGTGAGTCCTGGGTGTTGCAGGAAGTCATTCCTCCCCTCCCAGAGGGGTCTCCTCTGCCCTGCCTGGAGCTCTAGCTAAGCCCACTCCCTGGCCAGGCCTGGGGCTGCAGCACATGGCCCCCTCCCCTGCTCTAATGGTGGGGCCTCCCAGCCAGGTGGGAAAGTCCAGATGTCCCACCTGGGGCAGTGAAGAGGGGAAGGTCGGATGGGGGTGTAGGCACAGGCCCAAGAGGCAGCGACATGGGCAGGGCCTTTGCTCCCCTCCCCCCACTTGTGTCCTGCACTCACTGGCCAAGCTCTGGGCTTGTTGCCTCTGCTTCTTCTCATCTGGCCTCTCCCTATCCTGCATATGAAGACACAGGCTGCATGAATACAGGACCTGAACTCAGGGCCCCTGGGTTCCAAATCCCTGAATGGCCATCAGCTGGGCCCCCAGAGGGTGGAGCTGCCGCCTGAGCCTGGGAGCCCCAGGAAGCTGGTGGGGATTCAGTGGGGAGCCAGGGAAGAGTGAGGGCCAGGGATGCAGGCTCCTACTCCCACTTGAGAGGAAGGGTATGGGCTAGGGTCAGCAGGTGCCGGCCAGGGAACCCCACCTGCCAGGCCCTTCCTGGTGGGGCGGGCTGCTCTCTACCAGGGAAATCTTCCCGCATTCCTGGGCCGGCCTGGCCAGTCCAGCCACCACCTCACTTCCCTGTCCTCACATCACCTCCCAGGGCCGGGCTGGGTCATACTAGGCCACAACTTGGCCATGGCTCCAGGCATCCCACCAGGGTGGCACTTCGGTATGGAGGGCCAGCCTCCCTTGACCCCCCCAGGCCTCCACTTCTGGCCTCCTGGCATAAGAGTAACCATATTCTTTGAGGTAGCCCAACTCTGTCAGGCGGTGTTAACACAGTGATGGCTCCTGCCGGGTTGAGTAATCAAGGTCAATGCCAGTAGAAACAGAGGCCTGCATTTGACTCACAAACAGCTGTGACCAGAGACCTGACTTCTTCTACACCCTCCTCACCCCCACCTCTAGCTCTTCCTCCTGGGGCTGCCATCCCCACCAGCCAAGCCCCCACCAGCTGCAGGAGCATGGGGGCCCTGGACCCGGACAAGGGGCCTGACCCCATGGCCAGCTCACCCAGCCCCTGACAGGACCCCCACCCTGCAGAGCCCAGGTCTCCACCCCTTCCTGGTCAGCCCAGCCCCCGTAGCCACTCTCCTTCTGTCCCCCTATATTCCCTGGGCTCAAGCCCCTGGATGTGGGCCTTCAAGGAGCTCCTGGGCCAATAGGTGAGGTGAGCAAGTCTACCTCCAGGTGAGCAAGGTGGGCAGAGCTCTGTGAGGCCTGGAGGGAAGACTGAGAGTTCAGGAGAGGCAGCCAGGCTTCCCAAATGCCAGTGAAGCAAGAGAGCCGCCCAGAGGAGGTGGCATTGCTTCTATGCCTCAATCTGGAGTAGGACCTGTAGGATTTGGAGCTATAGAGACCAGAAGTAAAGGGCCTCCAGGAAGGGATGTGTTGTGAGCAAACCTTCAGAAGCCAGAGGACTCAGTGGGAATGAGAAGCAGAGTTGCATTAGGTTGGGGTGAGGAAGTCTGCAAAGCCTCAAAGGGGTCCTGCCAGGCCACCGGCATGCACACTTGATCCTGGGAGTGGACCCTGAATCCATCTGCATGGATGGGAAGGGGGATGGCTATGGGGAGAACCAGGACAAAGCCCTGAAAAATTCCCACAGGGAGGAAACAAGCCTGTAAGTACATTAGTGCTGGTGGGTAGATGGGGCTCGGGGGTGAGAGGGGCGGGGTGGGGGGGAGGAGTGGGTTCTCAATCTTGGCTGCACATTAGAATCACCTGGGAATCTTTTTTAAATCCTGATTTCTGGGCCTCATCCTCCGGAAATTCTGTTTCTTTGTTACTAATGTGGTGGCCCCACCCCATAACAAAGAAACAGAATTTCCGGAGGATGAGGCCCAGAAATCAGGATTTTAAAAAGATTCCCAGGTGATTCTAATGTGCAGCCAAGGTTGAGAACCACTGCCTTAGAAAGAGCTGGGGGTCAGGTGTTATGAATCTAACTAAATTATATGGCGCTAAGATGAGGGAGCTCCAGGGAGCAGCAGTCCCAGGGGATATTTGCATTTTCAAAGGGCACCTTGCAACACAAATCCATGAGCAGAATGTCCAGGACAGACTTCCTGTTTCATTCACTGGACCAGGCTGGTCTCACTCTTGCCCTGGCACTTCTGTTTGGTACCCTTTCTACTTTGAAGAATGGTCAGTCCCGCCTGTACCTTCTCAGCCCCCACATATCTATCTCCTGTTCTTGCCACATCCATAGCTCTCCCCACCTCCTGCTCACTGCATCATCCAACCCCAACACCTCAGCACTGGGGAGTGCATGCCTTGGATTTGGAGTCTGGCTGGAAGACTGGGGGTCCCACAAAAAGAACACAGGGTCCTCCTTAGGCACCCCGTGGAGGTGCGCGGCTCAGCCCTGTGCTTCCCGCCCCAGGGGTCCCTCACCTCCATGGGGCTGGTTACCATTCTGATTAGAGTGAGGACAGGTTCAGTAGCAGCTTCCCCACCCTCCATGCCCTGAAAGAAGTTGAGACACAGGAGAAATTCTGAGGGTTGAGGTGAGGCGGGGCTGTCCTGAGCCACTCACCCCGGCTCTGGTCAGATTTGTCCCCAGTGAACCAGACATGCTGGGGGAGGCATCTCTCTCTCTCTCTCTCTCTCTCTCTATCTATCTATCTATCTATCTCGAGACAGGTATTTCCACATTGTTGCTGGCAGTGGAAGAGACTATTGCCCGGACTGGTGTCTCCAGACTGGGGTTGACGTTCCTGTAAAGGCCTAGCAGCAGGCCCTGTGTCTGTGTCCAGAGATGTGAGGGGCAGTGGATCCTGGGGAGATGGATCCCAAGAACAGCTCTACCTCATTCCTCTACCTGTCCCCCCACCTCCCCCGCCTCAGGGTGCCATGGCCCAGCAGAGGGTCTTGGGCTCCACCTGCAGGGCATGCTAAAATGCCTGAGTGAAGGGTCAGCTCTTGGGAATCTGGAATCTTGGGAAGACTAACCCGCATTGACCGCTGACTGGCTTCTCTCTATTCCCCTGAGACTAGAGAGAGCCGTGGGCTGGGCGGTAGCCTCGGGATTGAAGTTAGACTGGAGACATGCTCCTTGGAACAGACTGTGTGAGAACGTCCAGACCTCTGAAATGCAAAGGCCGCTCTCAGGGACTCTTCCTTTATCCCAGCTCAAGGCTGTCCGAGGTGGGAAATGCAGACCCACAGCATCAGGACTTAAGGCTGGAGCCTCCCTAGAGCTTCCAGACGAGGATGTGTGTGGGGTGTGGAGGAAGAGACCTCTTCAGGGACTAGAGGAGCCATCCTGCTCTAAGCAGGAGAGTCAAACCGTGACGTGGCCCCCTCACTGGAATCTGATTAGCTCCCTGTATGGCAAGGAGTCTGTCTGCCCTTGCAGATAAGCTCTGGCCCATAGGCCTGGGCCTGTAGACCTTGAATGAGGGTCTGTGGGGAAAGTTGGAGGCCCCTGGCCTCTCCTGCTGGGTCCCTTTGTGGACTGTCCTGAGTCCTCAGGGGGCTGGGTATGGAGCAAAGGAGGGTCACACTGACCAGCAGTGGGGAAAGGAGGAGCAGAAACTGTTCTGGCAAAGTTGGCTGATGACCCCCTCTTTTCTCCCTTTCAGGGACTCAGATGACCAAAGCATTGAACGGTAAGCAGCAAGACCTTTCGGGGAGGAGGGGCAGGAGTAGGCTTGAGAGCAGCAAGACTGGCCAGAGGCTCTCACACTCACCCAGAAGGAGACCCAGAATAAATGGGAAGGGCAGGGCACAGGGAATCCCAAAGTAAGGAAAAGTTGTGGCTCAATGGAATTGGAGCCCAGAGAGGAAGAAGGTCTGTACATTGCAGATGGCACAAAAGCATGGAGCATGGGGATGGGGCATGAGGCATGAAGCATGGAGATGGGGCAGGAAAAAGTGACAGGAAAGAAGCAAAGGATAGAACCTGAAGATCATTCTGCTGTAACAATAACAGACTCCCTTGGGGTCACCCACCCTGGATGAGACCCTCCCAATATACACTGTGCTTCCAGGAGCCACTGTGTCAGGTCATGGGGTCAGATCTCTACATGTGTTACCTCAACCCTCCTCATGGTGTCACCATCTCATGAGTGAGGTGTTTGAGGCCATGGGGGCGGGGTCCTTTCCCAAAGCTTGGAAGGATATGCCTGTGTCAGAGGCTGACCTGATGCCCAGGTCTCTGACTTGCCCAAGGTCCCCAAGCAGGTCAGGGACAGGGAGGCCCCAGGATTGAGCAGAAAGTGGAAGCTGGAATGTGGGGTTGGGGTAGGTAATCAGCTGATGGAACCCACCCCCAGTGAGTGCTGCCCTGGTTGTGTTCCCCTAGTCTGCGGGCGCCCGAGGATGCTGAACCGGATGGTGGGTGGGCAGGATGCCTTGGAGGGCGAGTGGCCATGGCAGGTCAGCATCCAGCGAAATGGAAGCCACTTCTGTGGGGGCAGCCTCATCACAAATCGGTGGGTCCTCACCGCGGCGCACTGCTTCTCCAAGTAAGTCTCCCTCCCTCCCCGCCCCCCACACACACACACACACTCTCCCTCACTATCAACTGCCTATGTCCACTCTGCCTCTCTCCACACCAGGGGCACTGCTGACAGAGCCCCATGCCCCGTCAGGTTTCAGCACCTTGGACAGTGTCTACCGCCTGTCCAGCACTGACCCACCTTTCTGGCCAGTCCTCCCTTCGAGACTAACTTCCAGGTTCAATCTCTGCTTCCCAGCCTTTGCTCCCTGCACCCAAGTCGGGAGGTCCACTGCTGGTCTCACCAGTGATGTACTTGGCCAGGACTGGGGCCCTGTCCCTACAAGTGCTGGCAGGCTCCTCCCATGACCCGGCCCTGGCCCTGGCCCTGGCCCTGATCCCCCCTCACACACCTCAGATCCCTTTCCTGGCTGCGACTCTGGTTACAGATGAGCCCAAGGACTGGAGTAGATTGTCTCTTCCTCCTCCTCACCCTAAGATCACCCGTGTCATTCCTGATCAAAGGGCCAGGCTACACATCCCTGCTATTACACTGTGAAATCACCTGGTCCCTGACCTTCGGGGTTTCCCAAGCACCTCAGCTCTTGCCTCATCACAGCTCTGCATCTTAAATTCAGCAATGCAGGTTCAGAGGGAGTAGTTCACTTGCCCAAGGCTCATGGGAAGGGCTGGGCCCAACCCCCAGTTGACTGGCCCCCAGCTATTCCCTTGGGGGCAGTCAACTCCTTCACCCCTCATGGCAAGCCTTTTGCTGTCCTCATTTCACAACCAAGGAAACTGAGTCACAGAGAACTTTATAGGTGAATTGCTCAAGGTCACCCAGCTGGCCAGGGGTGGACCTGGGTATTAAAATCAGAATTTAAAGCTGCTTTAGCTCAATACATCCTTAACCACCTCACCCGGATGTGTGTCCCCCTGGAGATTACTTTTCTGTGCAGAGATGTCAGGCACTGGACCTGGATAGCAGGAGGAAGGTGTCTGGCAGCAGAGGAACAAACTAACTACAGTGGGGCCTTGACTTACGAGTTTAATTCGTTCCGAGACCGAGCTCATTAAGGAGCTCGTTAAGGAGCTCATTAACTCAAATTACTCTGTCAACTCAATGCAAAAAATCAGCCGAGAGACAGCTGGTATCTCAAAAAACTCGTTAGTCGGGACACTCGTAAGTCAAGGCCCCACTGTACTCCTGTTCCCTTCTCCATCTAACCTGCAGCAATTCCCCCTTTGAAACCTCAGAGGGGCTGCCTCACACTAGCTCCCTGCTCTTTCCCACCAGCACCTCTGAAACATCCTTGTACCAGGTCCTGCTGGGGGCGCGGCAGCTGGTGAAGCCAGGACCACATGCCACATATTCTCGCGTGAAGCGGGTGGAAAGCAACCCCCTATACCAGGGCATGGCCTCCAGTGCCGATGTGGCCCTGGTGGAGTTGGAGGCACCTGTGACCTTCACCAATTATATCCTCCCTGTGTGCATGCCTGACCCCTCGATCATCTTTGAGTCGGGCATGGAATGCTGGGCCACCGGCTGGGGCAGCCCCAGTGAGCAAGGTAATACCGCACGTTCGGGACAGAATGGGGGACATGCCATAGAGAAGGTCCCAGGCAGGGTGGGGGCCACTCTGAACCAACAATCTTTTTCTGTTGATATTGGTACACATGATCTCTACTCAAATGGGTGAAGCTGGTATGGGAAAGGGGCAGCGGATGCAGGAGGAGCCATGGGAAAGTGGGGAGACGACAGACAGAACCCAGCCTGGTGCATGAATAAGGGAGGAAGGAATTCTGTTCCACAAAGCCCTAAGCGAGAAGAGGTCTAAACCCAAGCACAAAATAGGGAGGGACGGAGCTGTGGCTCTCAAGAACTGCCTGCTGAGTTGAGGCTGTTTGCCCCTCCCCAGACCGCCTGCCTAACCCTCGAATCCTCCAGAAACTCGCTGTGCCCATCATTGACACGCCCAAGTGTAACCTACTCTACAGCAAAGATGCTGAGTCCGGCTTTCAGCTGAAAACCATCAAGGACGACATGCTGTGTGCTGGCTTCGCTGAGGGCAAGAAGGACGCCTGCAAGGTAGGGGCTGGGATCGGCTGTGATGGAGGCTGAGCGCTGCTCCCCAGGCCTAGGTCAAGGTGAGAGCCAGCCCAGCCCGAGGAGGCCCACTAGGTGGGTCCACGGTCCAGACCACAGCTGTGTAGTCAGCAGAGAAAAACAGGTCTCAGTGGGACTCAGGAAAATACAATTTCAACACACCCCTCTGAGCAGGTGGACTGGAGATCTAGAGAAACGGGCAACCCAGGCCAAAAAAGGGCCAGCCACTGGGGTGAGGGGAGCTGGGCAGGGACATTCCTAGAGTGGGGAGGTGAGGGACAATGGGAGGAAAGCAGGTGCGTGTGCTTGTGTACCTGTGGGCTCTCAGGCCCGTGTGGCTTCTGATGGTACCTCTGCTTTCCCTGCAGGGTGACTCAGGAGGCCCCCTGGTGTGCCTGGTGGACCAGCTGTGGCTACAGGCTGGAGTGATCAGCTGGGGTGAGGGCTGTGCCCGCCGGAACCGCCCAGGTGTCTACATCCGGGTTACCTCCCATTATAACTGGATCCATCGGATCATCCCGGAACTGCAGTTTCGGCATGCCAGGTCGGGCGGCCAGAAGCGGGGGCCCCGGGTCCAGCAGCCCCGAGCTCAAAACTTTGCACCCTGCGTGGCGGCCCACACTGTCCTCCTGGTCCTCATGGCCCTACTCACCTGCTTCTGAGCCCTGCTCAGGCAGGTAGGCGAGTGTAGCTGCCGGAGCCCACATGTACATTTGTAAATAGCTGTTTCTCTCTTCTTTCAAATGCCTGTTATTTTTATTTATGTTCACCCTCCAATAAAAACCTAACCTCAGTTCCAGCTGCCAGGTATGGGCCCTTCGGGCAAGAGGGGAGTGGAGGGGCACCTGATGGGGAGGTGCACTGAGGAGTGTGAGTTGGGGGCAGCACCGGGTGGGGGTGTGTGGAGGGCAAGGCTCCCAGTGAGAAGGGAGCTGCGGCAGGCCCACTGGAGGCTGGCTCACTGGAGCCCAGGTCCTCAGGGTCCGGTGACACCTGCTCCCAAGATCCCCTCACAGGCAGCTTCCCTGCTCCCACCCCTGCCTGCCTCATCGTCCTTGCCAACAGCCACCCTCACCGTTAAGTGCTGCCCCACGGCACCCTGGGCTGGACACTAGGGGCAGCGACCAAACCCGCAGAAAGAATGGGGGCCTGGCAGAGGGGCCTGAAGGAAGAGGGTTTTGTGGGAGATGGGGGAATCACAGCCCCCACTTTCTATTTCTGAATCACCCCAGGACTTTCTTCAAATAACATCAGGGATGATGCCCCCACAACGATACTTTCCCACTTCAGTGGGGAGTAAGCAGGGGCCCCTCCAGGGACTCCCTGTTTCCCAGGTTCCCCTTGACCCACAGCTCCTTTCCTCCACCTCTCCTTCAGCCTCCACCTACCCCCTGCTGAGTCCAAAGCTGCAGGGAGGAGGCTGGATTTGGGGCCATATCCACTGGGAGACTCAGGGGGCCCTCAGATGTGCCTGGTGGGCCAGTTGTGGCTACAGGCTGGGGTGGTCAGCTGGGGTGAGGGTTGTGCCCGCCAGAACCGCCCAGGCGTCTACATCCGGGTTACCTCCCATTATGACTGGATCCATCGGATCATCCCGGAACTGCAGTTTCAGCAGGCCAGGTCAGGCGGCCAGAAGACCTGCCCCTCCTTCTCAGTGCACCCTGTTGCAGCTTGTCAGTACCAGGAATCCAGCACAAATAGGTCTCTGGAGCTCTGGCCCGCAGGGTGCTCAGGCCCTGCCATGATGGCATGTTTCCCATGGGGCAACGTTAGGTTCGCAGGCTGGTTCAAACAGGTCCACAGCAGGCCTCTTCTGTGGCCATGGTCAGCTCTCCCCCACATGTAGACTGACTCTCAAAAGGTACCTGGGCTGCCCTGGCCGGCTTGGCTCAGTGGATAGAGCGTCAGCCTGCAGACTGAAGGGTCCCAGGTTCGATTCCGGCTGAGGGCACATGCCTGGGTTGTGGGCTCGATTCCCAGTGGGGGACTTGCAGGAGGCAGCCCTGATTAAAGATGTTTCTCTTTCATCGATGTTTCTATCTCTCTATCCCTCTCCCTTTCTCTCTCTCTAAAAATCAATAAAAACATTTTAAAAAAAAGGCACCTGGGCTTACCTGCCATGTTTAGCAATAATGAACTGGATGAGACTCCTAGGAAGGCCTTGCACACACATATAACCACATACCCATGCACACACTCCCTAGCACACCACATATACACATTCATGCAGACATGTGCGCACACCCATGCCTTCACTCACAGGTGTTCACATTCATGAACATATGCTCACTAGTACATAACATGCACACACCCATGCACACAGAAACACCCACACATATGCAAGCCCATGCACACACCTGTGTATACACAGGCGGAGCTTCCCACCTGGTGCCATGAAGAAAGCAGGCCTGGATGTTTATGGAATGCATGAATAAGAACTTAGCAAGCACCTGCTGTGAACTGTGCCTGGGGACAGAGTGGGAACAAATACTTAATTCCTCTCTGTGTTCCACTTTGCCGGGCACACCCCTGCCTGCAGGCAGGAAGGACCAAAAGGTGCAACTGGCAGAGGCTCATGGTGGCCCCACTCCCCTGCTGGCTGCTCTGTGGCCCTCTGGGGACTGGACTGTCTGCTACACTCCTTCTCTAGACCAGAGATGGGCTCTCAGTCCCTCAGGGGCCAGCAGGTACACCAAGGCCCAGGCTATGGGTATCCTGAGGGCAGCCATAGGAACAAGTTCTGGGTCATCCTGGCTGGGACCAGGGTCGGACCTGGGTCCCGCAGCCTTGGAGAAAGGCCTGGCTGACCCCGCCCCCCCAGCCCCTGTTCTGGAGGTATTAAAAAGCTTCATGCCGAGAGCCGAGGATGGGAGAAGAGCCGAGCGTCTAATCTAAGCAGCACTCCCAGCTTCCTCTCTCCTCTCTGCACCTCGCTCTCATGGCCTGCCCTCCCTGCCCTCCTGCTGCCTGCTCGCCCCCCAGAACAACTTCCACCATGTCCACCTCGGCGAGTTCCTACTGAACAAAGGCATCAAGCAGATGTACGTGTCCCTGCCTCAGGGAGATAAAGTCCAAGCTGTGTACATCTGGATTGACGGTACTGGAGGACTGCGATGCAAGACCCGGACCCTGGACAGTGAGCCCAAGAGTATAGAAGAGTCGCCCGAGTGGAATTTTGATGGCTCTAGTACTATGCAGTCTGAAGGCTCCAACAGTGACATGTATCTCGTTCCTGCTGCCATATTTCAGGACCCTTTCCGCAAGGACCCCAACAAGCTGGTGTTCTGTGAAGTCGTAAAGTACAACCGCAAACATGCAGAGACCAATTTAATTTAAGATATACCTGCAAACGGATAATGGACATGATGAGCAATCAGCGTCCCTGGTTTGGAATGGAGCAGGAATATACTCTCATGAGCACTACTGCGGTGTGGGAGCAGACAGAGGCTACGGCAGGGATACTGTGGGGCTCACTACCGGGCCTGCTTGTACGCTGGCATCAAGATCGCAGGGACAAATGCTGAGGTCGTGCCCGCTCGGTGGGAAATCCAGATAGGACCCCGTGAAGGAATCGACATGGGAGAGCATCTCTGGGTGGCCCGTTTCATCTTGCACCGAGCGTGTGAAGACTTTGGAGTGATAGCAACCTTTGATCCCAAGGCCAATCCTGGAAACTGGGATGGTGCAGACGGCCACACCGACTTCAGCACCAAGGCCATGCGAGAGAACGGTCTGAAGTACAGAGGAGTCCATCGAGAGGCTGAGCAGGCGGCACCAGTACCACATCCGAGCCTACAAGCCCAAGGGGGGCCGGGACAATGCCCGGCGGCTAACTGGATCCAATGAAACCTCCAACATTAACGACTTCTCCGCCGGCGTGGCCAACCGTAGCGCCAGCATCGCATTCCCCAGGCTGTGGGCCAGGAGAAGGGGTACTTTGAAGACCGGCACCCCTCTGCCAACTGTGACCGCTTCGCAGTGTCAGAAGCCCTCATCCACACGTGTCTTCTCAACGAAACTGGCGATGAGCCCGTCCAGTGCAAAAACTAAGTGGACTAGACTTGCAGCCGTCCAACCCCTTCCAATCACTTCTTCATCCCGCTCCCACTCTCGCCCCTCAATTGTCATAACAAATGTAACTCACAGGGCAGAATAGAAAAATCTTTTTTTATTCCTCGTGCCCAGTTAATCTCTTGCTTTCTTTGGCCAGGTTAGAGGGGTCAAGTTCTTAGTCTCTTCACACACACACACACACACCCTTTTTTTCCCCTATCACTGAAGCTTTCTAGTGTGTTAGTGGGGAGGGGGGCGGGGAAACATAACCACTGCTTCACTTAATCAGGTGTTTGTCCTACAGGTGTAGCTATCTGGACAGTGAGCACAGTATTTGTGAAGGGAGGGGAGGACCTTCTTCTTTGAGGAGCTGAGGGGGTAGGAGTGCTGGGCGTGCTCTGTGGTTAGGTGAGATACTCCCTTCTGTGGGGAAGTTCCATTTCTTAAAAGGTTATAACCAGCTTTCTTCTTCTTTTTTAAAATTAATTTCAAAGAGGAAGAGAGAGATAGAAACATTAATGATGAGAGAGAATCATTGATCGGCTGCCTCCTGCACGCCCCCTACTGGGGATGGAGCCTGCAACCTGGGCATGTGCCCTTGACCAGAATCGACCCTGGGATCCTGCAGTCCACAGGCCAACGCTCTAGCCACTGAGCCAAACCAGCTAGAGCATAACCAGCTTTCTAATTAGAGTGAGAATTAGGGAAGGTGGGGGGCAGCAGGCAGGAAGATGCCCTCTTACCTGCCAACTGTGACCCCTTTGCAGTGACCTGCTTCCCTGGCCTGGGGCTGAGTGCCCTCACTGGAAGGTAAGCTCAGCATAAAGGGACAGAATGGGTAGCCCTACCTTCGAAGAAAAAGTTCTCATTGCTTGGTCCTCCGTTTATAACACAAATCAGAGTAGTGTTTTTGTATTTAAATGAGAAAAAAATTATATATATGGGTGTGTGGATATGTGTGCTTTTTCTAAAGGAGAAAAACCGTTCTGGTCACTGGGAGCCAAATTTGAGGCAAGGAGCCTGGTTAGAAATAAGGCTCTCCTTTTGAGGGGGGGGTGAGGATGGTAGTGCTTGAAAAGTTGGCTGTTAGGGGCTCTTAAACCCTCACTACCATTTAAGGGTTTCTCTGTGCCCTGCCTGCCCTCTGGACACGGGTCGGCTAACAGGAGCAAACAGCCGCAGTCACCGAGCCCCCTGGCTTTGGTTTATAAAGACACATGTATGCACAGGGGTTTAGAAATGTGAGTTGGCTGGTCTACTTGAGCATGTATGTTACTGACAAGGGGGTATTGGGTTATTTTCTGGGGAACTAGCATGTCACTAAAACAGGCCTTTTGATGTATTAAAAAAATTTTTTAAGCAAAACCAATTTAGATTTTAATCATATTTGCAGGGGTTTGAAGTCTCTGTTTTACAGAATTGCTTGTTTGCTTCCAGTCTCCTTCCTGTCTGCTCTTAGAGGGGAGGGGGACAGGACTGGGGCTAAACACTTGTAATTTTGTATCCTGGTGTCTGTTCTGAGTGTGAAATATTCCTTTCCACTTATTAAGATTCTGAGGAATTATTTTTTCTTTTATAATAAAAAAACAAACCCCACCTTCAAAAAAAAAAAAAAAAAAAGCTTCATGCCTAACTGGTATGGCTCAGTGGTTGAGCATTGACCTATGAAACAGGAGGTCACAGTTCAATTCCCATCAGAGCACATGCCCGGGTTTCGGACTCGATCCCCAGCAGGGGTGTGCAGGAGGCAGCCGATCAATGAATCTCTCTCATCATTGACGTTTCTCTCTCTCCCTCCCTCTCCCATCATCTCTGAAATCAATAAAAACATATTTTTTTAAAAAAGGGACGCTTCAGGCCTGTGATTGGAGATTAGGTGGTCTCTGGGGGAAGCCCCTCTGCAGCCTCTGTGGGAGGCCAGAATGAAGCCTTACTGCCTGGAGATGGGTGAAGAGCAGGCTCCTCTCAGAGGACTTGCCACCCTGTCTCTGCCTCCTCCAGCCTGCTGTCCCAGCTTTCTTTGTGGCCTGGAGTCCCCCATTAACACCCCCTCCTGATCTACTACAGGGCAGGGGTCTGGTCAGGTTCTGTGGGGCCAATGAGGAGGGGCACAGATGGCAGGGCAGCCTAGCCTCCAGTGGCACCACGCCCAGTTGGGCTGGGAGGGTGAGTCTGGGGTCCCAGGTGGGGCCCCTGATGCAGCCAAGGTGGTGGCCAGCACATGACCTCGGACACAGTTCCCCCATCCCTGGGCTCCCCCAACACTGTTCCCGCCCAGACCCAGAGCAGATGCTCGACCAGAGGGCTGTGGAGAGGAAGGGCAAATACTCTTGGAGAGACCAGGAGATTAAAAGGGAAAGCAGATGTATTTCATGCCTTTCACAGTTCACAGCACACTTAGTGCTGTGAACGGAGGTTAAGGAGAGACATGCCCCCATCTGTCACCAGTCCCCTTTCCCACCCTTGGCAGGGGTGTGGCTCTGACACAACTTTCCACTGTCTCCAAGCAGTATCTCAGGAGCCATCTGCTAGGCGGGGTGTGGCAGGACCAGGTCTAGGTCAGTAGCAGGAAGAACACTTTGGAGAACCTTCTAGCCCAGGGTGGGCAAACTTTTTGACTCGAGGGCCACAGAGGGCCGGAACAAAAGCATGGATGGAGTGTTGGTGTGAACTAATATAAATTCAAAGTAAACATCATTACATAAAAGGGTACGGTCTTTTTTTTTTTTTTAGTTTTATTCATTTCAAACGGGCCGGATCCGGCCCGCGGGCCGTAGTTTGCCCACGGCTGTTCTAGCCTCAAGGACCAGAGGTCAGCCATGGCTCTGATGTAGCAGGATACCTGACTGTGCCTCGAGCAGAGTCCTAGGTCTGTGCACCACCAAGAGCTCAGGTGCTCAGGAGGCATGGAGCAAGGGACAACAAGAGGGGGTGCAAAGCCCCTAAAGCCAGAGACTCACCTCTTCCACCCGGGGTTGTGCATGTGTCAGAGTTTCAGTCTGTCTCAGGGAAGCACAGCTCGCTCCAAAGGTGCTGAAGTGGAGCTGCTTCCGCTGAAGGCGCACCTGGGCCTCAGCGCCCGCAGGCCTGCCACAGGCTCCGTGGGACTAACAGCTGCCCTATAGGCTGACTCTTCATTGCCCCTATAGGGCTCAGTGACCGGTGGGTAACAGGGCACCCGCCAGCCACTGCCACCAGCTCAGGGCAAGACGAAAGATGCCAGAAGCACCTGTTGGGTGGACACAAGTAAACACAGGGGAGAGGAGGAGCAAAGCAAGGGGTCAAGGGTTGGTGCCTGCCCTGTGCAGAGCCCTGGAAGGTTCCAGACATGGGCTCTGCAGGAGGCCCAGCAGCTGGGGATCCTCAAAGGGAGCCTGCACACACCAAGCACCCGCCTTCCCCTCCTGTCCTGTCCTCTGGCTTCCTGGAGCTACAGGGCTGGTGGCCCCGAGAGCTGTCACTTGCCCCTCCTCACACACCCCCATGGCAGGCAGGCTATGCTTGGGGGATGAGGACCGAGGGGCAGGGCTCCCTCATCAACCTCAGGACCCAGATTAGATGGCTGTTTCCTTTCCAGTCCTTGGCTAAACAGAAGACAACCTGAGGACTTTGACAGGGACACCGATATACCCTGGAACCTCTCCCAAGTACCCGCCTGGCAGAGGGAACTAGAGGCATGTGCAGGTTTGCTGTTGACATCAGGGAGCTGGGTGATGCCAAGTTTAGTCTGTTCAGAAAGCAAACTCCTCAGAGCAGAACTTGGAGTCCTTTGCCATGTGCCCGGGCTGTACACGGAGCTATGGACGAGCCCAGCCCCCAGGCAGGCAGTTCCTACCCCCAGCCTGGGCAGGCAGAACAGGTCCCCACCCAGCCTGGCCAGGGGCCCCACACCTGGAAACAAGACAGACACTCCCGAGAGGCTGGAGGTGTGGATTGCCGGAGACTCCAAAACCTGATGATCGAGGACATCCTAGCCAGCCTCAGCGAGCCAGAGCTCTCCAGGGGACACAGGAACAGGAATTTCCCTAAAGCGTGGAGAGCATCTCAGGAGCTATCACACAGCGGCCACCAGTGGGAGCCAGAGCGACTGCGGGGAGGGTGGCATCGGGGGTGGGAGGCTCGCAGTCCCCAAGGACGTGAAGGAATTTGAAGCTGGTGTTTCTGGCCAGAGTAAGAGACAAGACAGGTGGGCACACTAAACTTGATGAGGCATCAGTGCTTTAAAATAAGTCACTCAAAGATGATCTTGTCCCCCGACATGTGCTGTACTCATCCCCTAGCCAATTCCCAGGCTGGTCAGTAATAGACAGGTGGACGGCCCAGCTCCACCCTGGCCACTAACCATGCCCAGTGTCGCCAAGAGCTTTTCCATGCATTTTAAGATATTAACAGTTGCTCTGCTCATTCATAAATACACAATTTTATTTGCTATTTTCAGGGGAAACTTAGGCATTAAACTGTCAGCTGATAAAATACGGATACCTAAAAAAGTATAAAAGTATAAATATCCCCTTAGAATAAATTTTAGTGAATTAGGTCTTACTATCTTTAAATTAAAAAAAAAAAAGCCTATCTAGAATGTCAAGGTCACAAATTAAACAACAATAAGCGGCCAGCAGTGCCCCACAGGTATACCCTGAAGCCCACAAAGGCCGCCCTCCTCCCAAGGCTCCATGAGGAAAACGGGTCACCAGGGGCTAAATAGGCCCTATAGAAAGGTTGCTATAAATGGTTGAAGCCAAACATTTAACAACATACAACAGACCTTACAAAAAGGAGTAGGTAAGTCCTAGGTGCTGGAGAACTTGGTTAATCAGGTTATTTATTGGCAAAGAAGAAGAGGGCACAGGTGAGATGCCTCCGGAAGCATTGAAACTAGACGTGCCAGACTCTGCCCGGCATGTCAGCAGCCCCGGTGTCAGTGTGCACAGCTCCCGGGGGAAGCCGTAGGTCAGGAAGCAGAGAGCTGCTTGTCCGAGCCAGGTCCCCCAGACTCTAACAGTTTCCACGACCAGCTCAGAAAGGTCTGTTCTCAAAGCGTGTGGACAGCAGGTTTTAAAGGAATCCTAGTAGTTCCAATGTCATGTAAGGTGGGCAGAGCCCATGTGTGGAGTCTCAAACATCCCAGAAATATCAGAGAGAACTGCATAGTTATACAAAGAAAATGAAAGAGCCGGCAAGAAAGAGAAATATGTGTGATGCGCTGTAAACATCCAATTTTCAACGTGACCCGGAATTTCAGCTCCGGAAGCCAGGTGGACAGGCCTCCCGCCTGACCTCCATCCCAGGCGAGACAAAGGCACTGACGAGCGCCAGCTCCTCCAAGAGCCCATGGGTGGGAGGAACAAAATCTCTACCTCCCTTTAAAGGACTTAACAGATCAATCCAAAATGCAGCAACACTTTTAGGCATTTCTAAAAAGTAAAAACATTGGGAAGTCTATCCACACTGGAAATAAGAGATGCAAAGGTCTCTTGCCTGGAAAATACAAGTGAAGAAGACTTGACTGTTCCAGGCCAGGTCAGGCCAGGGGAACATGGCTCTGAAGGAGGCCCAGCCTTGGGGTGGGGTCCAGGAAGTAGTGAACATACAGAGGCCGCCTCTGTCAAAAGCTGCCCAAGGCTGTGAGAACCAGTCACACCTGGGCATGACTCTGACCCGAGAACCAGGGCCTGGTGCGGTGGGGTGACCAGCGGACACCCAGAGCCTGGGGCCACAGCACTGTGACCACTTCCTACCAGCAAGGCCCAGGCTCCATTACAGACTGTTTATGTAGCACCAAGAACGCTGTCCTCTAAATGATCTTCGGTGATTAAAGGGGTGGGTCAGGAGCATCCTTCCTCGGGCCTGTGTGGCACTTGGAAAAACCGAGCGAAGGCTCCCATAGCAACGCCCGCCTGGCCAGCACACCTCCTCCTAGTAGGGGATGCCCGGCCTTGGACAGCTGGTCACGTCTCTCACCACCCACCTCAGAGGCAAAAAAGGATTCACACCCAGATCTCTATAGAAAATTGTCAAAAGCAGGTTTCTTCTCACGGCCAAGCTTCCTCGACATGGCGGTTCATTTCATCTTGGGAAAAGTAAAACGTTTCATCAGCTGTCAACATTGTGCTCCTCACATCCTTGAACCTCGTTCTTGCAAAATCTGAAAATGCCAAATGCAGAGAATGAGGACTTGGGTTTTGCACAGGGAGGTGGGAACTATGCAGCCCTGGAACCAAGTGCCCTGCTTCAGGAAGTGGAGCCCACAGACCCCAATCAGCCTACAGAAGGCTCGGCTCAGGGGCCTGAGGAAGCCAGTACCACAGCTAAGGCCTGAGAATAGGCTGGTGCTCAGCCCAGCTGACCCTCGATGTAGGGGCCTGGCTTGCGTACCTCCTGGCCTACACTAGGGGCTGGCCCCTCCAACTCTCTCAACCCTCCATCCCAACCTGACATCAGAAAGGCACGCTCCCGCCTCCACCAGGTGCCTCCCTGGGCTTCCTCCAGGAGGGCTGAGGGACACAGGCATGGCTGGAGCGGGGACAGCTCCTTATCAGGCCCCATGGACTGCCAACAGTCGCCTCTCTCCCTCCCACTCTTCCTTGGCATTTCAGGGCCAGAGCAGCCGTCCACCCCACCCAGCCCTGCCCTCACCACTGGGATCAATTGTGCATCCCATCCACTTCCAAATCGGGCTGGGGAGTTCCTCAAGGCCTGGAGCCACCTGGGGACACGCCCGTGCACTGGCAAATGCCGATGGAGTTGAACCCCACACCGGTGGAGGAGCTGGAACCACCCTGTGTCCCTAGGTGGGGGCTTCAGGGCTGGCAAATATTGTTGTTTCCATACATCCAGTATGGCTGCTAAGCATCAGGTAACCAGGACAGATAGGCCACAAGTCCCAGCCTAGCCCAGCCTAGCCAAGGCCAATGCTGTAAGATGACCCTCCCTAGGATCGCATCAGCAGTGTAAGAGCGAGCCGCCCAGGGGCATTCTGCACTTGAATTTCAGAGCTGAGAGATATGGCTTCGAGGACACTGTGTGCTCTGAGCCCTGGGGCCCCGGCACAACACAGGGATATGCCCTAGAAGGGAGCCAGTTCTGCTTGTGCCAGGCCCAGACCCACATGGATGCTCTGGCCAGAGTGAGGTTCACTGCCCCCCAGCAAGACCCTGTAGGGAAGAGGCAAAATCCTCAGGCTCACACTGAGTGTCCTGCTGGCCCCCAACTCACCAGCCAGGGCACCGCCCCTAGTAGGCACAGTCCCTCAGTCATCTAGGCTCATCCGAATGACTCAAGAAAAGGCACAAATTCTTGGGAGTTGCTCCAGCTGTCTCGATACTCCTCCACCCCTGCTGGTCCACAGGTCTGGGCCCCCTGAGTCTGAGAGCTCTGGGGCTGCTCAGACAGCCCATGCAAGGCATACCTTCCACTGTGCTGGGGGAGCAAAGGCCCAGATCAGCCCCTGCAAGTCCCTCCTGCCCCCAGGTGCCAGTCACAGCCCCAGGCTGCGACTCTATCTTTGCTGTTTGCACGGAAAGCTAGGGCTGGCAGGGCCCCAGGAAGTACAGAGCTGCCCTCACTTTGTGGGAGCCCAGCAGAGTAGAGGGAGTGACTGAGTTTGCAGGACTAAGTGGTGAAAACAATGAGGCCCACACACATGATGAGGCCCACATAACCGGAACGTGACCTGAGAGCAACATGACAAGACAGGAAGGGCTGCCTTGCCAGAGCAGGAGCCCCAACAACTATCTCCTAACGAGGACAGAAGACCCCTCCTCCGAGGACCTGTGACTGTCATAGCCCTGTCTGCCCTGGACACAGCTCTTACCTGGGCCACCCCCCTCAGGGACCAGGGCAGGCCATGCACCACGAGCAGCACCCCACAGGCAGGCCTAGGCAGATCCGGAGGCTAGGGCAGCTCCAGGGCTGCTCTGTGATCAGCCCACACCCACAGCCCAGACCTTAATGAGGGCCACCACAGCAGCTCCAGCCAGCAGATGCAAAATCACTAACTGAGAAGGGGAGCTGAAAGAAGTCCCCTTGTCCCTCCCCAATGTAGGCCCAGTGCCAGTTCCTGGCAGCTAACCAGTAGGTACAGCTCCTCCAAGCTCATGCAGGCTCCCCTAAAGCCTCGCCAGGTTCCTATCACAGTTCCCATCAGTGGTCACCATCAGGCCAAAGTCTAGGACCTGCTGTCCATATGCTGCTGAGCCAACTAAGATGTGGCCCCAAACTGAGAAGGGCCACAAAGGCACACTATACACCTGATTTCAGAGACTTTGAAGTGGGAAGCATAAAGTATCCCAATGATTTTTTAGGTTCAAATTAAAATACTTTTTGCATGCACTGAATTAAGAGTATTAGTATAGCCCTAGCCGGTTTAACTCAGTAGATAGAACATTGGCCTATGGACTGAAGGGTCCCAGGTTCAATTCCAGTCAAGGGCATGTACCTCAGCTGCAGGCTTGATCCCTGGCCCTGGTCGGGGCATGTGCAGGAGGCAACCAATGGGTGTGTCTTTCTCACATCAATATTTCTCTCTCTCTCTCTGTCTCTCCCCATCCCTTCCACTCTAAAAATCAATGGAAAAATATCCAAATATCCCCAGGTAAGGATTAACAAAAACAAAACCAACAAAAAAGGGGCACTAGCATCAATTTCACATTCTTCCTAATGTGGCTGCTAGAGAGTTTGAGAAGATAGATGGAGCTCGTGCTGCATGTCCTGGGCTCTGGCAGCTGGTCTAGACCAGTGGTCAGCAAACTCATTAGTCAACAGAGCCAAATATCAACAGTACAACGATTGAAATTTCTTTTGAGAGCCAAATTTTTTAAACTTAAACTATATAGGTAGGTACATTGTTATTAACTTAATTAGGGTACTCCGAAGGCTTAGGAAGAGCCACACTCAAGGGGCCAAAGAGTCGCATGTGGCTCGCAAGCCGCAGTTTGCCGGCCACGGGTCTAGACCTCTGCTAAGCAAACATTTTCTTAAAGAGTCATATAATCATATAAGTAAATATTTTAGGATTTAAGTGTCAAAGGGCAAAATGGAGGATGTTATGTAGTTATATAATCACCCCCCACAAAAAAAAACAACACAAAAAACCACCAACCACTGAAAGTGTAAAAAAAGCCCCCAGTCTAAACTTCTCATGGCCAGAGGGTTGGCCTCTCAGTGCCTCCTGCCTTTCTGAGCTCCTCTCAGGACAAAGGCTGAGGGTCCCAACCTGCAGGGCTCAGCCTACAAGGGGGTCCCTGGTGGGAGAAGGGGACCCCAGGATGATGCCTGGCTCACCCACCTTCAACCTGCCCTCTCTGGGCTTCGACTTCCTGTGTGCAAGACAAGGGAGTAGGCCAGGTGGTTCCTGCTAACAGAGAACGAAGATGGGTTCTGGAACCAGCTGGGCCTATGAATCTCAGGCAATGAGAAAGGCTGGGAGGTGGCAAAGCAGTGAGGAGCCGCTGGGGCCTAAGGAGGCACACAGAAGAGGACCCACACACTCTCCACCAGCATCCTTTGCCGAGGCACCTGGGAGCAGAGGCACTCCGGACTTTGGCTTCAGGATCAGAGTCCACCTTCTGCATCACAGCCCCGCTCCTCGGCCCCGAGCCCATGGCCCAGCAACAGGGTGGGAAGGCTGGCAGCCTGGTGAGGAAGCCTGACACGCTTCTCAGGCCCCCCAGCGAAGGTCTCAGTCTCACCCAGACAGGCGTCCTACAGGGACAGACAGCCCACTCCCAGGCAGGCCAGCTCTACTGCAGGTCTACACAACTGGCAACGAGTGTGGAAAGTTCTCTGTCAACTACAGGCATGAGACAGACACATCAGAGGAGGGGCTGGGTCAAGGAAACTGAGGTATGGGGTCCATTGCAAGGGCGGCAGAGCTCACCAGGACATTTACACTTAATCTGAGTCATTCCCATCGTGACCCGTCTCCTCGTCATCACTCTGGCTCGGCACACAGCATGCGGCAAGGGAGAAGAAGAGAGGACACCATCAGTGCAGGGCAAAGCAGGGGCCAGCAGCGGGAAGCCGGCCCAGAGAGTCCTCAGTCCTCAGGGACCATGGATGCTCAGGGCCAGGAACTTCCATTGTTCTGTACAGCAAACCACAGACCAAGCCTCATCTTGGGGGGCTGGGCCCCAAACGTACACGACCAGATCACACCATGGAGGAACACGGGGCTCAAGCATCTCCCTTGCCCCATCGTCCCTGGGCCCTGGCACTCCCAAAGTGCCCGAGTAGTCCTTCCCCCTTCGTAGTGAAGAACTGAACCTTGCCCTAACGGAGGTCTGGGCTTTGCACTCGGTTCCTGGTTACACTTGGACAGTCTGACAATGTGATGCGAGGCAGGATCAATCGGCCAGGAGGCTGGAGATTGCAATCAGGTATGTGGGTGATCAATCATCAATCAATCATGTCTACGGGACCAAGCCCAGTAAACTCTCTGGACTTAGAGGCTAAGGGAGCATCCTGGTACATCTGAATCTTCCCTCTATACTTCCTGTAATAAATCGTCACCGTGAGCATAACAGCGGTGAGTTCTGTGACTACTTCTGGCAAAACATAGAATCAAAGAGTGGGTTGGGAAGCCCCTGAACTTGCAGCTGGTGGTGGGTTTGGTAGCTCTTGTGTGGGCCATTCCCCTTGATGGGATGCCCCATCCCCACCTGCTCTTTCCAGCCACTTCCACCTTGACAAGGGAGGCTATTACGAGCTGCAGGCTCTCATTTGGTGAACAGGTAAGACCGCAGTAGTGACATTCACTACCCTCAGGACGTGCAGCACTGCTACAACCAGCTGCACGTGGGTGTCCCCAAAGCACCGTCCCCAATCCAGCCCCAATGGTTTTCCATGGCTTTCCAGAGGACCCAACCGCGCGCCACATCCTCGGGAACTCCTGCCACTGCCCCCATTTAGAAGTCACTGTGGCCACCACACTTCAGAGCCAGGTATTTTTAGAGAGAGAAATAGGGCCGCGTTTTCAATGACAAATTTGGGGTCATGCCAGGAGCTCCCTCATAGCACAGACACATTCTTCTGCAGCTGAAAAACCACCTGAAGGAAATGAGGTTGGGTGGCTGCCCTGCTGAGCTCGGCTATGAAAACTTGTCAAGTTCAGAAATAAAAGCTTCTAAAAATAAACAACTTATGAGTCCTGCAATTGCTCAGAGAGAGATGTGCCTTCTCATGAGGCTGGGGGATCGCAGGGAGGTGGGTTCACCTCCACCCCTGATTCTGTGGGAGGTACGTCCCCAGGACCTGGCACCATGACTCCTCCATCCCTGGCGTGCCTACATGTATAGGGAAACTGCACCATCCCCCACGCTGTCCTGTCCTGAGCAGCAGCAGGACAGCCCACACCTGAACACTTAGCCGCAAGCACTGCAGAAGGGCAGGGTGGGGACTTGAGGACTCGGTGGACCCTGGCATGGATAATCTTGCTATGGCAAAAATGCTGCCTGGAGCCGGTGGAGGGCCAGCAGTCAGTGACTCTGCTGTTAGTTGCCAAGCCCACACCTCCAAGACCAACCCTAAAAGGTTCACAGGGGTGGTTCTGAGCAGGTGGTGGCCAGCCAGTCTGAAAAAGCCCTGGAAGCCCCGGGTTAATGTGATCAGTTAAAATCCTTCTGGCTCTAGCCCTGGCCGGTTTGGCTCAGTGGATAGAGCATCAGCCTGCGGACTGAAGGATCCTGGGTTTGATTCCGGTCAAGGGCACATGCCTGGGTTGCGGCTCGATCCCCCAGTGGGGAGCAGCCGATTTATGATTCTCTCTCTCCATTGATGTTTCTCTCTCTCTCTCTCTCTCTCTCTCTCTCTCTCTCTCTTCCCCCTTCCACTCTGAAATCAATAAAAACACTTTTTTTTTTAAATCCTTCTGGCTCTGGACTATTCCTAAACTCACTCAAAATGCCCTTTGGCAGACAACACCCTGAGCCTTCACCAGGGCTGCCACAGAGCCTGCCCCCACCTCCTGGGCTCTGCTAAGGCTGCTTAGACGCCCCCTCTCCCCCCCGCCATCCCCTTCCCTACCTCTCCTCCCAAGGTTGGCTGCAGGACTGTCTGGCTACCACCTGGTTCAAAGGTCTACCTGCCAGATACAGCCAGTCCAGACCAACGCTAGGTTCCATCTGTCTTGCAATCCCTGACCTCAGAAACAAACCCAGAGGAGATGCCACTAGTTTTTCCACCTCTGGGGAAGGCCAGCTGCTGCTCCCTGCCACAAGGCTAACTTGAAAGCAAATGACATGGCAGTTCTACTTTGGCCCTGGCTGCACTGCCCTGCCCAAGAGACAGAAAAGCCGGTACCCAGTAGGGAGTGATGCCAGTTTATATAGGTACTGGCCAGGGCCAGGCCGAGACAATGCTCCATGGGCTCTAAAATAACAGAACCTGCAGGATCCACTTCTTTTACAAACCAAACTCAACTCCCAATTCAGGATGGATGTGGCCAGGGCAGGTGCCACTCGGGCCCCACCCGGAAGCCTCCTGGTCCCAAATCTCCAGGAAAACAGCCCACAAATGGTGGCATCACTTAAAAGCACAGCCACACACTTCCAGGAGCAACTCTGCCTGTGAGAAGGGGAGTCGGCGGAGAGTGTGGGTTGTGAAAGCCACAGGGGCTCACCCTGTGGGGAAGCCTGTGTCCAAAGACCTCTTGATCCACCACATCCTGCGGCGTATACGTCCTCCATTACGGGACTCTGCCTATGACACTCATGCGAGAATTACAGGATAATGAACAAGCAGCCCAGGTGAGTGAGTGCCAGGAAGCCTGCATCGCAGGGAGTGCAATGAGAACAGCAAGGAACTATAAAGCTTGAAGGGAAAACCAACCCTACAAAGGGTGCCTTCTGCCCACACAAGCCCCCTCCACTGGCAGGAGGCCAGAGTACCCAGGGCTGCTGCCTGCCTGCTGGCCCACCATTACTCACCTTGGCTTTCTCGCTGGGCTCACTGGTAGTGCCGTACGGGGAGTTGTGCAGCTCCTTGGAGACCACACAGAGGAACTCGGCCTGGTCTTCACTCCCATAGTTGTAGGAGGAGCCAATGCTGACCAGCTGCGAGGAGAGAAGACAGGTGTGATGTGGGCAGAGCCACATTCGTGTCAGGCTCAAGACCAGCCCACCCACCAGGAAGGAAGCACCAACGTGTGAAAACCCGTGGCAAAGATAGTCAACACTAGGGCAGATTACGGGACAGGTTTCAGCCAAGAGATTTTTAATGAGATTATGAAAAATGAAGTCCTGACACATCCATATTTGGGCACATACATGCCCATATCCACCATACGCGTAACCCTCATGCAGGACAGGCCTTCTCTGCAGGATGGTCAACAATTTCAGGGCCTAGCCGGTTTGGCTCAGTGGATACAGCATCGGCCTGAGGACTGAAGGGTCCCAGGTTCGATTCCGGTCAAGGGCACATGCCCAGTGGGGGACTTGCAGGAGGCAGCCAATCCATGATTTTCTCTCATCATTGATGTTTCTATCTCTCTCTCCCTCTTCCTTCCTCTCTGAAATCAATAAAAATATATATTTTTTAAAACACAACAATTTCAGGGTTTCTGGGCCCACAGGAGATGCTGCCTGACCCCAGGGAGAGGGGAGCACAGTGTGAAGGATTGCAAGATGGGGGTGTCATGTTCAGAGATGGTCCTCTTGGAGCAGGCAGTAGAATTGGGGCATTTAGCACACCAGATGCTCCCTTAACACAGGCCCAAAGCACATATGTGAGAACAAACACATGCACACGAGGACAAGCTCCCAGTCTGCTTGTTCTCGAGTGGTCACTGGGCCTTCCCAGGAGAAGCCAGGATGGAACCTTCCTCCCCAGGGGCTATTAACCGAGAAGGCTTATACTCTGGTGGCAGGAGGAAAGGCTGGCAGAGGAGGGCCGCAGAGGATAGAGCTGCCTGAATCTCAAAGATGATGCTAGGAAGCTGTGGCTTTGCATGTCTCAGTCTCACTCTGTGTGAGTCCACATCTTCGTGGGCTTCCAGGTCACTACCACCGCCATACAGGGGCCAAGGGCCAACCTGCCTGCTCCAGCCTACCCCAGGGCTACCAAGGGCTTCTGTGCTTTTAAATGTAAAATTAACCAAAGGAAAACCACTACAATTGTAATAAGACCATCAATCGCATAATTATAGAGCTAACAAACACCTGGAAGGCCCCTCAATCTCTGGCCTCCCGACGTATGAATCTGTACACATAGGAGAGGCCAGAGATGTGAGGCAGCTCTGAGTGCAAGGATGTGGGAAGGATGAGATGGGAGTGGTGGGTGCAAGTGAGGGACGTTCAGAGAGGTAAGGCCAGTGTGACCAGAGGAGGGGAAAGCACAGGAGGCCCATGGAAAAGGGAGGACACACTCTCCCTGTGTTTCTAGAAGTCTGTTCCAGGTTCACAATCGCCCCTCAGGAGATGGGCCCTGCCACCTTTGGACCACAGTGGTGCCTGGCCCTGGATGCAGAATGGGCAGTGGTGTGCAGTCCCCTATAACCGGGTCTGCCTGGAGGCCATGTTTCCACGAAGCATGCAAGCCTCTTCCAAACCTCACTCAGAACCTTGTTTTGGCCTCGTTACTGACCACTAGGTGATCCGCCCCACGTCCCCTGCAGCAGGTCCAGCTCCTGCTTCTGAGAGTAGAGCGTCTCTCATTAAATAAACATGACTCTGGTTCTGGGCTTTTACTGGCATGAACAATGTCCTCAAGGAACAAACTAGGCAAAGGGAATTAAGACTTGATGAAAAGAGACGGCCCTGCTCTTTTCAATGGATTTAGGATCCACTCAGAGGAGCTAAGGACAAAGTCCCTAAGCTGATCATGGGGAGGAAGATGTCCATGCAAAAGGCCGGAGGTGCACTCTCCCTCCAGCAGGAATCACAGAGGACTTAGCTCTCCTTGAGGGTGACCCAGTTCACAGATCCTGAACTGATGATTACAGCTCCCACCTCCACAGCCCTTGTCCAGGCAGCACGCCAAGAGGCAACAGGAGGGGCAGTGGGAGACTCCTGAGTGAGTCCAGAGCATAAGAAACACATGCAGACCACAGGACCCTGCCTGGATTCCCCAGGGCAAGGGCAGGGCAGGACAAGCTGCAAAACCATCAGAGCAGGGACACACAGAGCAGCCCTGGTAGCTGGTCCCAGGGTGTAGGGAGGGGCACAAATGCTGGTTGCACTTATCTTTAGTGATGTCTTAAGGGGATTCCGAGCACTTACAATGCAATCCATTATTTCAAAAGACCCAAAGAAAAGGGGTCGACTTAATTAGGAGGGATGCTGGGGTGACCATGTAATTTCTCACACTCTCTCTGCAGAGCACTTGCCCCAGATGGCAGCTATCAACAGAGAAAAATCCAAGAAGCCAGAGGGGGCCTCGTGATCAGGGCAGTCACTACGTAGGGCTAGGGTCACAGGGTCACAACCAGTACCCTGGGCTGGGGGTCAAACAGGGTCACAAGCCCAAACCTCAGAGCCTCTGCCTAAAAAAGTGGAATAGCAACACTGAGCTGATAGGAAAGGTGCTGGCCACTCAGAGAACACCCTTGGTGGGTTCTGAGGCCACAGGTCCTGAGTGCAGCTGCATGGGACGAGAGCAGCATACAGAGGTGCAGGGAGGGACAGAGAGCAGGAGAGAGGACCCAGCATTCAGCACATCAGTCCCAGCCTGTGGCAAGAGCAGAGTTGAGGAAAGTGGAGGGGCACAGCCAGGCCAGCATCCTCAGCATCTTTCCAATCAATGGCAGGAAAGGGGCTGGAGGGTTTGAAAAGCAGTCCCACCAGGAAGGCCATCGGTGCCACCTCCAGCACAAAGGAGCCTGAGGCACCATCTGCTCAGCCAGCACAGGAGGGGCCTGGTGGACATGAGGTGGGACAGGGAGGTTGGGCCAGGCCAGGATGTGGCCAGAATGTCAACCACACACACATTAGACACAAGACAGAAGCTCAGAGAACAGTCCTCCCAAAAAAATGATCTAGAGCAAGAATAACTGCAGAATGAATGAGGGGGTGGGGCAGAGGCACAGGCTGTTTTCGAGAGGGGCCAGTAAACCACATTTCCAGGAATCACAGGTGCCCAATGCCTCATTGTTTACGGTCCCTGGGGCCAACAACCCTGAGGACCCAGGTGGGGTCACTGTAATTAACAGGCTGACATCAATCCAGGTGGGGGGGAGGGGGTATGCATGTGCCCTTCACCTGTTCAAACTTCCAGCCATCGGACATGGTGGACACCATCTGCGTGAGCTCCTCCTCCTGACACTGAAGTACACGGTAAACATGCTTCACTGGCACCTGCAAGAACAAGGGCCACAGGTGAGACAGGCTCCACATGCCCTGCTGCTCCTGCCCCAGCCCAGCAATCTTGCCCGGTTGCTGATTCTGGAGACAGCCCAACAGGAGACCCGGTGAGGCTGACATTTCTTTCCACCTCTCAGGCTCAGGTCATGATGCCTTGAAGTGGCCCCAAACACATACACCGAAACAAGACAAACAGGCTGGAACAGCTGCCATTTCCTTCTTCCTTGTCTGCCTCCAAATATATTTCAATTGCGACATTCCAAAGTAAAATGAGTCACGTTCCTAAAATGCCAAGAGCACCTGTGTCTAGATGTGAATGCACGAGGATGTCCATCTTTGTTCTACAGGGAACCACACCAAGTCCCTGAGCCCACCAGCTGGGGAGGGATTGATGGGAAGGCCCGAAAGCAATGCGGGACCAGCCCGGCCCCTGCTCCTAGCAAAGCTTTCATTCATGCACAGCAGCTCAGACATGAACTGGCTTGGACTGAACTGGCTTCCAAAACATGGACATATCTTTTGAGTAGGCCACCATCCAACCTTCTCTGAGCTCTGTTCCAGGCATTTCTGGTGCTGGGAGCCCCTGAGGGGGTCTGCTCTCATGGAGCTGCTACTCTAGCAGGAGGAGGCGGCCACCACACACAACACGTGTGTAGCCAAGGGGAAGGGGCCGTAGAGGGCTAAGCTGTTCTGTGATGTTAAACCAGTGACTCACACTAGTGACACTCAAGTGACAGGGTCACAGCCTAAAGTACACTGCTTTAATTTGTGAAACAGCGAGTGACACTGGAGTACTACCTCACCTGAGCCCTCTAATCCGCACATCGGCCCTGTGACAAGGGGCTCCTCGGCCTCCACTATGCCACTCTGCAAGGGAAGACTGAGGCATACAGTTTGTACTGGTCCAGGTCACACAGCTCATTAAGTGGGGCTGCTGGATGGGGGAGGAAAGTCCAGGGAGGGGGAGGAGGTGGCGAGGAACAGGGAAGCCTGAGGAGGAGTGAGCAGAGACACTGGGGTGGGCGTCCTGAGGAGAGGCTGGACGGGGCTAGATGAGTTTACCCTTCATGCCTGCCATGGTGCCATTAGGCACTAGAACAATTACAGAGGAAGACGGTCATCAAGATAAGACAGCCAGATCTCAAGGCCTCATGAGGAGGAGGGAGGGGAGGGAGCTCCACATTTGCACCAGGCCTCGGAAGCTTCCAGCACATTCGTCACTGGTCTCACCTGTGATGTTTTGCTGTCTCGTTCTCTAATTTTGTCCTTTACAAGTTTTATTAGTGAGGTGATATTGTAAAATTCCGCTTCCTCCAACACTCCTGGAATAAAGAAAAGTAACTATAATTTTCACCAAATCAAAAAAGAAACATTTCACTATGGGCCTGTGGCCTATGCCTGACCACTAAAGGCTCCTCAGCCCCCATCCTAACACCCAAAAGTCACCACGCAGACATTGTTGGCTCTCAGTAGGGCTCCCCAGGACTTGGCGCAGAGGGCTCACATGGAGAATGATGTGTTTACTGAACATACTCTGCATGAATCCCTCCACGTGACCTGCTGGGTGCAGAACTCAGATACAGCTGGTTCACACAGAGGTCCACGAGTGTGGACTGCGAGCTCCACGCTGGGCACGGGGGATGGAACACAGGCATCTTTCCCTCCACAGCCTGCATCTGTCTCTCTGGGCTGGCCAACTCTCTCCTCCCCTCCGCGAGAGGCTCAGGCCTGGCCAGGCGGCCTTGTGCAGGTCTCTGAGTCATTCAGCACATCAGTTTCCCTATTCAGGTGTTAGACTGTGGCTGGTTGAGGGCTAGCTCCTCACTCTAGGACTCTTTTTCCAATTTAGGAACTCCTTTTCCCCCAAAGATGGCCATTTGTAATGTACCTTATTTAGGGACTTGAAATCTCTAAGAATTCTAAAAAACAAATTAGAGAGGCTCTGCTGCAGGGATTCCTCATGGGTATTCCAGAAGGTTCAGGGTGAGCCTGGTCATCTGGCTAGACCTCACTCTTCACGGTACAGTTCCCACTGGCAACATCAGGAGCTCAGAGCCGTGGACTCCAGCTGCCGGACCCACTCAGGCTGCCTCCTAACAAGGTCCCCAGGTGAGACGACAGAGGGTGAAGGTTGGGGCAGGCAGTAGCCACCCAAAGAGAGGCAAAATCTAGTTTGTTTCTTCTCAGGATGACTTAAGGCAACTGTCAACTCCTCTCTTCAGATCCATGGGTGGGGACCGAAGGGCATTACAAATGAGCACCGGAAGCTTTAGGACAAGTGCTTGGGCCTAAAGGGCACATCTTTCTTCCACCTGGACACTCCATGCACTATACTCGGAAGGGCAACACCAGGAAATGGTGTGCACATGGGTGTTGCTCCTGAAAACACTGTGTCAGTCCAGTAGGAAAGCAGGTGAGCGAGGCCAACTGGCAGGGCTTGGTCACATCAAATACCCCTTTCTAAGCAAATTGCATTGAGAAGAGGAGGTGAAGTTTAGCTTCAAATTGTACAGCTGCCCACACAACACAAAGGAAGGGTATCCCAAACCACACAAGTGTGTGAGCAAGAAAAAAGCGCTCCAGAGAAGACATGGAGTAAGATGTGATGAGAGCTGAGGGAGGACAAAGTTCAGTACTGACAGTCAATCCAGGACACAAGCAGAGCAGAGAAGCCAGAGCCCACTGTGAGTCATAGTGCCCTGAACCCCTCCAGACCTCCCTGGTGCGTGGAGCCAAGCACACACAGAGCATGCATACACCAGCCTTAGACCCAGTGCCCACAAGGTTGCGCCTGGCATCCCTGCTCCTTGTGACCTGTGTCGGAATGTAGTATGGCATTTGGACATGCAGACAGAACTCAAAGGTGATAATACAGTGGTGCCCTGGAAGGAGAGCAGACCCGGGGTGACTGAGACAGAGGGACACCTGGGAGACTCGCATGGTGGGCACATTCCTAACACACCACCCTCAGACTGTTAAGCCAAAGCATCTCTGAGAATGGGTGGTCTCCCAAGGGAGGAGTCCCCACCCTCATGCATCACTAACTAGACACTTGGAGGAGGGAGCCCATAGTTTTACCCACAGTCAGGGGGACCCAGCAGCCAGGGAGTGGGGTTGCAGGGGCCTGAACCACAGTCCCCAGGCCCTTCTGCTACAAAGGTCCTGACAGGCCAGCCTGGCTCTAATGAGCCTTCACTTCTTGGAGGAGAAAAGGGGAAGAGGCCATGCTAAACAGCCCTCTCACCTCTCTGAGACCAGCATCTGCTGCCTCATGGGACACATTTGTGAGAAAGCAGGGGGGCAAGTGAGGAGACTTGGGCACCTAGGACTTCTGCAGGGGGCAAGGGCACTCAAGACGCCAGCCTGGCCCCCGGGGCACAGAGCCTGTTCAGGCCCAGAGGGTCCAGTTGTCATCTTCACCAGATCCCACTCTCAACTCACCTTCCTCTGCAAGGTCTTTGTTAATGACCAGCTTTCCATGTCTCAGGTAATTCAGCACGGGCCCAAAATAGGTGGGATCTCTGTCGATTAAATAGGCACCTGTTTCATCCTACAAAGAAGAAAGCACCAACGTGAATCCTGGACAAGAAAGCAGTGGCCCCACAGCCTACCCACAACCAGATCAACGTCCATGGCACTTCAGTGAAACCCCAAGTAGTGTTGTATGCCTCCTGCCGTCTGCAGCCTCCAACTCCTATCTGTCACCATTTCAAGTCTAAGCCAAGTTGAAATTGTTTTGCAACTAGGTAACCTTCCTTTAGCTACTGTGAGGCAAGGCAATTATGTATTGAGCCTCTTTCCTCACAGGACAAAAGATTTCTAAAGAAAAGTTGATCGCCCTAGACGGTTTGGATCAATGGATAGAGCGGCGGCCTGCGGACCAAAGGGTCCTGGATTCAATTCTGATCAAAGGCATGTACCTTGGTTGCAGGCTCCTCCCTGGCCCGGGCCCTGGATGGGGCTCCTCCAGGAGGCAACCAATCGATGTGTTTCTCTCACATCAATGTTTCTCTCTGTCTTTCTCTCTCTCTTTCACTCTCCCTAAAAATCAATGGAAAAATATCTTCGGACATGAGGATTAACAAAGAAAGAAAAAGAAAAGCTGATCCTTTTTCATTTTAGAAACCGTCCCACGAGAGTGACTAACAGACTCTCCTTAGTGGAAAGCTCTTAAAGGCAGGGCTGACACTGGTGGGTCCACTTCTGAAGGACACCAAGACATGGGCCTCTGCGGCCAGTGCTTGCCCTTCTCATTTTGGGGTTACTCCTTGGGCGAGTGTGCAGGACTGAGTGTCAGGGCAATGGCCTGGGTCAAAGGCACATGGAACAGAACCTCATTTTCCCAGAGCTTCACAGTGACTGCTGATCACCAAGGAAGCTCCACCCATTGGGTAGCGGTCCCAGAGTCCAAGCTGTCTAACAACAGACCATCAGGAGGACAGAAGATGTCGGCGTAGGTAAATGCCTGCACTCGCCACCTCCCACAACCACATCAAAATTACAACTAACATACAGAACAACCATCATCCAGAACCGCAGGAAAGCTGGCTGAATGGAAGTCCTACAACTAGAGAAGTAAAGAAAGCACACTGAGACTGGTAGGAGGTGCAGAACGGGTTGGTCCGGCACCCACGTGTGCCGCTTTTTTAATCAGGGAAGGAGATCGTCTCTACGAAGAGCAAGGGGTCCCAGCCCCACACCAGACCCCCAGCCCAGAGTCCCATAGCTGGGAAAAGAAGAACTCCGGGCTGTAAAAACCAGTGCGGATTAGGGCTCAGTGACACAGAGGCTGCTGCAGACCCAGCTGTTCCTCTTAAAAAGCTGGCACCATGAACTGAACTTACAAGGTCCTGCTTCCTCTGAGCTCCAGCACCAGGGCAAGGCTCTGGGGAACACAGACACATACGAGGAGGAACTAGAATGTCTGGCATTGGGGCAGGAACTCAGGGGGCGGCTTCCTCCCAGATGGAGGTGCTCGCAGGGATCTTGTTCCTATGCTGGGACCTGCCCGTTTGCAGGGCTGACTGGCAGCCATTTCTGTTTGCTCTGCCCTGGTGATTCCCTAAGACCCCGCCTCATCCAATTTACAACCCCACTCAAGTTGTGTGCAGCGGCTTTTGCATATGAATGGCCTGTCCTTGCTCAGGCTAAAATCTCTCAAAACAAGCTGCAGCTGAGTCAGGGAGCCCCAAAATAAATTAATAAGGCCTAAGACCCAGCACCAGCACCAGTCTTCCTTGCTTCATAGCTGGGCCTCGTCTGGGCACTTCCAAACCCAATACAAAGAGGAGGAATCTGCAGATCTCTCTGTAGCTCCTGCTGGGTGGCCCCAGGCAGTGGCTGACTTTGCACCTCCCTGGAGCCAGTGCACCCAGTGGTCAGTGTCAGACCACACTACATTACAACTCTACACATCCATAAGCGACGCACTCAAGGGGTAGTCTCAGTGAACACCAAGGCCCCACTGAAGCAAGTCCTGCTCCACAGGGGGGCCTCTTGCAAAGCAGCTCTCCCACTGTAGTCGCAGCTCAATTCCTCCCAGTGACACCAACAGCAATCAAGTCTCAACTACAACAAGACTGTGCTCACAGCCCACAAAGGGGTGCACCTAGAGCTCCCAGCTCAGGTGACTGGGGAGGCTGAGACACTGGGCCCCATAAAACATCTACTACACAAGGCCACTCTACCAACTCAAGGAGACATGGCAGCTCTACCCAATACATAGAAACAAACACAGGGAAGCAGCCAAAATGCAGAGACAAAGAAACATGTCACGAATGAAAGAAAGCAAACTATTAAATACAGAGTTCAAAACCACAGTTATAAGGTTACTCAAGAATCTTCTAGAAACTTCCAAAAAAATGGAAAAGGACCAGTCAGAAATTAAGCATACACTGACTGAAATAAAGAATAATATACAAGAATTCAACAGTAGAGTAGAGGATTCTGAGAATGAAATCAACAATTTGAAATATGAGGAAGCAAAAAACACCCAACCAGAAGAGCAAAAAGAAAAAAAGAATCCAAAAATATGAAGATAGTGTAAGGAGCCTCTGGGACAACTTCAAGTGTACCAACATTCACATTATGGGGGTGCCAGAAGGAGAGAGAGAGAGCGCAAGATATTGAAAACCTATTTAAAGAAATAATGACAGAAAACTTCCCCTACCTGGTGAAAGAAATAGACTTGTAAGTCCAGGAAGCACAGAGTCCCAAACAAGAGGAATCCAAAGAGGACCACACCAAGACACATCATCATTAAAATGCCAAGGGCTAAAGACAAAGAGAGAATCTTAAAAGCAGCAAGAGAAAAGCAGATAGTTACCTACAAGGGAATGCCCATATGACTGTCAGTTGATTTCTCAACAGAAACTATGCAGGCCAGAAGGGAGCGGCAAGAAATATTCAAAGTGATGAACAGCAAGGACCTACAACCAAGATTACTCTTCCCAGCAAAGCTATCATTTAGAATTGAAGGTCAGATAAAGAGCTTCACAGACAAGAAGAAGCTAAAGGAGTTCATCACCACCAAACCAGTATTACATGAAGTGTTGAAGGGTATTCTTTAAGAAGAGGAAGAAGAAAAATAAAAAGATCAAAATATGAACAACAAAATGGCAACAAAAACATACCTATCAACAATTGAATCTAAAAATCAAAATAAATAAGAAATCTAATGAACAGAATAAACTGGTGAATAAAATAGAATCAGAGGTATGGAAATGGAACAGACTGACAATTCTCAGAGGGGAGGGGGACGGGGGCACAGGAAGAGATTAAACAAAGATCTTAGATGCATAGATGCATTACCTATGGACACAGACAATAGGGTGGTGAAGGCCTGGGGCAGGTGGGAACCAGGTGAAGAAAGGCAATGGGGGGAAAATAGAGGGACTTCTGTAATAATCTCAACAATAAATATTAAAACAAAACAAAAAACAGACCATCAGAGAGGTTGCTCCTACCCCTTGGCCAGCCCTGTTTCACCCCCAGGAGTGGGAACCTTTCTGAGGGTCAGGGACCCCTTGCTGCTCACTGGAGTCTTCAGAGTCAGTTCCAACCACAGCCTCTCTGGCTGTTGCAACCATAGCCAGGGGAGGTAGATACTAGGGTGGGGGCAGTCCCCATACAATGACACCACTAGAGTGCACCCTGTAGAGGCTGCAGAGTAACAGGTATAGGGGGATGTGATAGGGACTGGGATCCATCAAGGCAATGGATCCAATGCTGCCAGGACACCGAAGACGTGTTGGCTGCATATCTGATTTGGGTTGATGAGTATGACCCCACCCAGGCAGCCTTCCAGTGGGGCTACTGATGGATGAGGGACCAAACAGCTTCTGACCCTACACCAGTGTATTCAGCCTATTGAGAATCCTGCTCCCCCCTGCAAGCCAGCCTGCCCTACCCAGGCAGAGCCTGGACCTGGGCCAGAGGCCCCAAAGAGGGCAGAAGGTGCCGAGGTCTCCACCCTGAGACTGTGACTCTGTAAACCAGTCTGAGAGTCAATGTGGCCTCCCTGTCCAAAGTGGATCTCGTGGCTCACAAGAGGTCCTTAGCAGGTGAGGGCCACGACGAACAAGAGCAGCTGGCTGGCCGCAGCACCAGAACAGCAGCAGGCATCTCTGCCGGGAGGTGGAGCAGTGGAAACTCCTAAACCTCTTAGATGTGACATACCCCCAGGCCCCACAGCCAGAGACACAAGGAGGCAGGCAGTGTCTGGACCACGAAGCAAGACCCCATGTTAGGACCCTATTTTTCATTTATGAACATTATAAATTCTGGAATTTATGTAGTAAACCTTCATAGTTTCCAGGGTTTCTTCCCAAAGTCCACCTTCATAAAGTTGCTATTTAGATCAGATCAATTAAGGTTCCAGCCATGGAGGCACTTCCCACTCGGCCCAGAGCACCTCTGTGCCTTTTTCTCCCGTAGGCCTGGCACTCAGACCAGTCTCCAGCCACCACTTGCTCCCCGCCGCCCCCATGGACTTCCTGTCCCCAACCACACAGATTTCCCAAATTCATCTTGC